GCCGTGCAACATTCTCACAGGCTAGAGTCCCAGGAGTACAAACGTACAAGTGTCAAAGCAATCCTACAAAGTAGTTACAGCAGATCATTTGAATAGTTGGCACGTTCTCAAATAGCAAATAAAACTGTTTGCTTCACTTTTCATTTAAGATTAATAATTAACTACTGAGTGGAACTCACATATTTCTATATTTTAAATAGTTTCATCCTTTACAGACATTCTCTTAAAATGCTTTCTCCTTTTCTTGTCCCTTGCTCAGATTCTCCAGATTGTTATGCATTCTCAAGTTTAGCATTATAAGCCTCAAAGAACTACTACTTCCTAAAATTTCCACACGTAGTTTGTCAACATTGCATTGTTCTGGTGCTTTCCAAGTCCTCGTGCCACATATCACTTCCCCCTTCCCTCCCATAGTTGGCTCACAGCAAACTGTGCCACTGAACACCCATTTCTGAAAGTTGACTGCAGTCATCTTGAAATATGAAGCAGTATTCATGCACCTTTAAATACCAGATAAACACCATACCTTTCTAATGAAATTTCCTGAAGTCCACACTTATTTTCCTGGAACAAACGTTTCCAAATAGGTCTGACACTGATGAATTCAAAAGGACAAGCAACAAAATATTGCTTTACCTTTAACAACACATTTTGGGTATTTCAGTCTCCCATGGTTACGATGTGTCCTCCCAAGAGATGGAAGGGTAGTCTGGGGAAAATCATATCCCTCTTTACATTCAAACTCTATGAGGTCACCATGTAGGAACATTAATTCTTCCTGTCTCCATTTTAACTCTAGGTTGTTATTGTTTAGAGCAGTTGCATTAAGAACGCATGGATCTAGGAAATAAAAGCATAGTTCAATCAAAACAATCAACTTTGGACAATGCTCCCAGATACATGATCTGATTTTTCTGGGTGATCCTTTAGCGACCCAGGCGTTGGACTTGATGATCCTTGTGCGTCCTTTCCAACTCAGATATTCTATGATTCTATGAAGAGATTTCTTAACTGCCTGTTGCAGGAGTTGAAAAAGAGAAATCTAAATCAGTAATTATAAATAGTTTGGAATCATGCAAGAAATAGAACTAAAAGCACATTTAGAAAGAAAGCAGAAGCAAAGAAATAGTCTGAAGTAACAAAAAGAACATGCAAAATTAATAAGTTCAAAAAGCTCACTTCAGATACAATCGGGATTCTACAAATATTTGCAAACATACAGCAGCCAGGGTATACCACTGAGTAAGAACAGAACTTGTTGAATGTAACTTACCAACCTGTCACACTTCGAAGGCCCGTCTGGAACAGTAGGAGCTCATACATATGTAAATTTAAGCTACTAACGTGTTTTTTGTTTTTTGTTTTTTTTTTTTTTTTTTTTTTTTTGTCCTGAAGTTTGTGGTTTTCTTTAGGCTTTTTCAGGTTCTTCAAGGTCAGTATCATTTTGGTTGCTTTCTGACAGACTTCTTAGTGCCAGGATCAAATTGGGTAACCTAGCTTTCTGTCCGACAATTAACCTCTATCTTTTGAATCCACTGCTCCACTTCAATAAAGCCTGACAAAGGGGCAGTTGAAAAAACGAATTTCTGCAAGTCTCAAGAGAATCAGTGCTTGACAGAGGCCCTTATTAATGATTTTCTGAAGGAAAGGCAAGGAGAGATTACCTATTGCACATTCTAACAACAGCGCTGTAACAAAATATTGGCAAATCCAATTGGTAGTTTCCCCAAACTACCTACAGTACAGGCTATTTCCCAGCTGATTGGGTGGGGACAAATCTCAGAAGACATGGATAGGATAATGCAGTTAACGGGATGCTTAGAACATACACAATATTCATAGCTGAGGAGTTTTCATTATTTCACAGAATTTGTTAAATCTCATTATTGACATCCAAGAATTCAGACCTGGGCCTTTCAATTCTGAGTTGGTATGTTTTATTCACTTAGAAATAAATCATTTAAACTAAACCAGTTATTTATTTGCATTTTCACAGTAGATTAAAAACTTAAAGTGAATACATTCAGCAACGGATGCAGGCTGAGGGGAGGCGTGGTGTAGAAATCATTTCATTAGAGGAAGGAAAGAAAGATAAATGAAGAACTCTTGTAAGTCATCAGAAGTAGTATTCCTGCCTACATTTGTATACTCCTAGTGGGATTTCTATAGGTTGTTTCGAGCAGAATACATGGGAGCATCATGGAACAATTAGGAAGTCCAGAATTAAGAGGTGGATACAAGGACACAACAAACACAAAGGCTGAAAGTTTAAAAATGAAAGTCCGAGTCACATTACTTGCTAACCCTAACCAAAAACAAACAAACAAGCAAACAAACAACAACAACAACAAAAAAAACAATTTAGGCAACGACTGCAGTCATTTCTTCTAAACACCTTTCGATAGACAGGAAGAAATCCACTTAATGGAGGTCGTGGAAGATAAAGAAATTAGAAAGTCTTCCAAAATAATGAGGCCAGCTGAGTTCTAGACCTCTTCACTCAGGAAAACAGAGGAACTAAGAACAGGCCAGAAGACACTTAGCAGCAGCGGGCTAGGTATAGTCAATAATGGTTCAGCCTCGTGTTTCTGAAATCTGTTAGCTCAAATGAAAGAGAAGAGGGAGTCATTAAAAGATTATCTAGAGGTCCTTTCCAGATTTTCCTTTCTACATTACATGTCACTTTTTTTTTTTTATTCCCTCACAAACCTTACCTAAGCAAGTTGGTTGTTCTGTCCAGTTTCCTTCTTTGCAGTAAACAGTGCTATGTCCATCCAAAAAATGGTAAAGCGGGCAACCATATTCTAAGAAGAACACCGTTTTTAATCACCGGTGGAGAAATACAGCTCTGCTGCATTTCTCATACAAGGAAGGGAGAGATGCAATTAGATCTTTAAAATAATATTAATACTATTGAAAGCATCAGCATACCAACTGACTTTGGTCCAAAATTTTCATACCAAAAATGTGTACGTAAGTGAACTTCTTTTTAGAAGTTTCAGTTTCAGATGCTCTAGATTTATTTTACTGATGTTCAGACTATTTCTGTGCCTTCTACACTCCTCACTTATGTCCGCACTTGACTCCTGCTGGTTTACAGTCAATACGGATTGGTTGCTTTTCTGTGCTGAGATTGTCTTTATTTTTTGCTTGAAATGTTAAACCCATATGGAGTTCAGAATAAACCTCAGTGAATTACTAAACAAAGGATCCAAATACTCTTGAATCTGCATGTTCAGAGATTATCAACAGAAGAGGTACAAAATGACTGAAGGTAAACGCTAACACATGAAATAAAATTACCTATACGGGACAGACTTATAAATGTAGTTTACAGTCACAGAAGACAAAGAACATTAACTCAGCTACTGCTATATGAAGCATATGCAAGAGACTTTGGTCAAAAAAATACAAAAAAAAAAAAAATTATATATAAGTTTATATATTTCTAATCCCTCTACACTCCTCACCTATGTCTTGATACATTTGATAACTCCCCCCTCCAAATATCACAGAGGCTCAAGTCATGCATAAGAATTGGGGTCTATGATCCACAGACTTCCCTGAGTTGTTTAAAGGAGAGCACTTGCCTTCACATCATGATGAGGCTGTGAGGACACTCATCTCTGCCATGACACCAGGCTAAACTCCCAGGAAAGCACATGGAGAAGAAGCTAGGAGCACACAAGACCACACACACACTACTTGCTGATCAGCAAATTAGCTGCACACTTTAATTCATGTCTCAGTATGCCACCAAAGCCAGCCTACTTCAGGATGCAAATGTTAATAAAATAACACTGAGATCAATATAGAACAAAAGTAAGAAGTACAGTCATTTGAATGGATAAAATGTAAATACTTTTACAAAAATGGTAACATATCAAAACAATCATCCAACAATTCAAAGGGAAAAAAGAAAGGCAAATTCCAACACAGAACATTGGCCAAGCTGCAAACACAGCACAATGAAACAGCAAACTCCAGGGAAAATTGAGCTCAAAATCACTGGGCTGGTCAAAGGATCTTTCATTTCTCCAGCTGGGCTCCTTCATGCCTTTTCCATTTATCCAAAATACGCTGCAATGTAAAGAGAGGAAGTAGAAAAGGAATGAACACCAAGGCTGGCACATAGCCATGTTTCTTGAGAGCAGTGGACAGCAAAGTTGCCTAGCATTCCCATTGCTTCAGTTTGATTCCCCAGGCCCCTTGGAACAGGAGCAACCCCAAGACAGTCACAAACTGGTAGAGGGTTAAGTGAAGGCCCCTAAAGCTGACCCTCCCTTCTCCACAATTCTACAGAGCACTGCGCCCTCCACACAGAGCACTTACATTCACATCGGGGGTAGTTAATCACTCCATCCTGGCACTGTGCCTCAAAATCCTCGGGGTTTGAGACTTCCCGGTGGGCAAAATAGCATGTAAATGAAATAGTCTCCTTAGAGCGATATATGTTAGATCTTCTCGTCGAGTGTCTTAGTTTTATATTGTTCCTCTTCATAGCCACCTCACTCAAACTACAGTTCCCTTGGGAAGAAAAAAAAAGTTAGAGAAAAACAAGAAAAATAAAAGAACAGCCACCACCACAAGAGAAAGTACTTTCATCAGTTGCCTGTAGACCTCGTTGTCAACTCTCTGAAGCTGTTGGTACCAGCTTAGTGACTGACACTACTTATTCCCCTGTGCTGCATCCCTGCTGCATCTGTCCCCTCCTGTATCAATGCACATTGCTGATGATGAAAGGCAAAAGCCCATTTCATACCCTTCAGCAATGTCGCTGTAATTGCGGCTTGGGGAAATTGTAGGAGGAGGCAAGCACAGGTTTCCTGCTGGAGAAGCATGTGAAGGCGTGCAATGGGCATTGACCCCTGCCTCCACACACACCAGAGCAGGGCACAACCAGAGAGGAGCTGCGCAAAGGGGGCACAGCTGTGGCTGCAAGAGAGAAGCAGAAGAGAAGCTCACTGGGACAAAGCAGTGACAGAGTGGAGGTGACTTACTTCCTGGCTTGCACCGTGGGTATTCTAATGTCCCGTCCATGCACTGCACTCTGAAGGGGGAAGATGCTGGGTCCTGCACATGTCCTATTTTACAATCAAATTCAATAAAATCGCCTGATGTTGAGTACAGCTTTCTTTCTTCTCTCCATCTCTGCTCAATATTGTTTCTGTCCATATCTTCTTCAGAGGCCGTACAAGCCGCTTGGAAGAGGCAAGAGAAGGATGTGATAAATTCATACCACATACAATTTCTTCCCCCCTCCGAGCCTACAGGTGTACTTCACAAAACTCTTCCAGCAATGAGCTCTCACCCTCTGAGTTTTCCAACATGAAAGACATTCTTAAGAATGCAAAAGGGAAAAACAATGATGGCTGAGTTGCCACACACTGCTTTGGAGAGGCCTTTGCCCTCTGACAGTCTCACAGGGCAAGGGGAAAGCACAGCCTGGGGCAGGGGCACCCAGAAGGCAGCAATGAACTTCCCTGTGTCTTTTTTGGGCTCTCTCCTTGCCCTCGTCCCAGCACTTCTCAAATTCATTCCCTTGTGGCCCTGGATTTCCTTGCACTCAGACAAAACCACTCGCGTGGATCTGCTGGTGACTGGGGGCAGGGAGGGACAGCAGGCAGCAGAGGCGGCTACACGAGCTGACCTCCAGAGGAAATTCCTTCTGCACAGGAGAAGCACCAGCTGCTCTTCTGCCCTGTCAGCGTCGCAGCCCCAACACAAGCGCTGCTTCACAAGTGCAGGGCCTGCAGGGCCTGAGAAAAAGTCAACGAGCAGCTCACACAGCTCTGTGCCACGCAGCACCAGCTTCCACCTACCCAAGCAAACTGGGGGATTTGTCCACTGCCCGTCAGTGCAGGTGATTTGTTCAGGTCCTTTCAGGATGTAGAAACTTGGGCATTTGTATTTCACAGTCTGACCCTGGTCATATTCTGGTAATGGGAAGGAAAGGATGTCTCCGTTTTCAATATCTGGAGGTGGGCCACATTTTCTACTCTTCCCTGAAAGAAGATCAGAAAGAAAACCACTGAAGTTTTGTTGCAAGAGAGGCCTAGCCACAAATTCTTCAGAAGACGATGTAGGCAGCACTTCGAGAGACTTGGAGGAAAGCAGAGAGAAAACTGTCACTTTGACACCAAATACTGGATTTGTTCATATGCTGAAACCTAGAACATGCCTCATGAATCAAATGAGATTATTCAATGTGTTCGTGAAATGCTGGGCACCAACGTGGTACCAGCTGTTAGCTCACCCATCAGCTATGGCCCACAGGTAATTTAACAGTAGACTCAATTGCACGGCATTCACAAAGGCAATGCTCCACTTGTATTTCCTGGATGTCAGTGAGCAGGAGAACTGTGAGTGAAAGGTTGCAGTCTGAAAATCAGAGCTGGCCAGCAGTTGCTCTCAGCCACAGGGTGCTTTTCCAGATGTGGCACCCCTTGAGTGAAGCCATCTGGAAGACTTCCATTAAACACATCCTGCCCACACAAATGGAAGGATACCACGGAAAATCTCTTTTTCCTGAGTCTGACAGATACTGTTGCACTTGCTCACAGTCCTGAGACTGAAATTTGGAGACCTAAATGCCACTGAGATTGCTTGAGGGCAGTCTTCATTGACACTGTACTGCATGGAGAGAGAGAGAGAGAACTCACCTTTGCACTGGGGCCGCTCTGTCCAGGTCCCATTCTGGCATGTTACTGTGGAAGCCCCCGTCATCTGAAAACCTTGCCAGCACTGATAGTGAGCTGTCTCCCCAGGCAAATACCTTGGCTTTTTAACACCTTGAACTTTTCCACCAGCAATTTCTGGAGGAGGTTCACACGTCACATCTGAAAACAGACATTTCGGCACTTGATTCATAAGCATTCATGTGTTGTTACACAAACTACTGTTAAGAAAACATCTTGTAACTCCCCAGATGATGTTCTTAAGTGCAAGAAGCAATATTGCCTTACCAACCTTGATTTGCCCCCCATTTTTTCCTTGACTTTCTGGGGCACTGTGAGCCCCAGGAATGTAAATTAACATGACAATGGCAGCAGAACACCTTCCAGATTCTCAGGAGATGGCAGGGACAGTGAGAGCTTCTAGAAAAAGCCAACATTTCTGTAGCTACACCACATGCCACAAAAAGCCTCCTTGCAAGGCCATGGCCCTCTGCTGAGAACCCCAGCACTTCTCAGAATCACAGATGTAGCAGCCAAGCTGGCTCTCTGCTGAACTGCAGAGCTCTGGAAGACATTATCAGCCTGTACTACTCATGGGACAGGTAAGTAAAGTTGACTCCATGGAGGTGTATGACTGCCACGTTGCACTTGTTCAGCCCCCAGCCACAGATTTGGGCATCCCTTTTTCCTGAGTCTGACAGATATTGCTGCACTTGCTCACATTACTGAGAATGAAAGTTGGAGACCTAAATGCCACTGAGCTAGCTTGAGGGCAGTCTTCACTGACAGTCTCCTGCATGGAAAGATAGAGAGAGAACTCACCTTTGCACTGGGGCCGCTCTGTCCAGGTCCCATTCTGACATGTTACGGTGGAAGCCCCCGTCATCTGAAAACCTTACCAGCATTAAATGAGCCTGCTGTGGCCATTTTACAGGGCATCATTCTGCATGTTTGTATAGCTACTGACCTCAGTAGCACGCAGGGACTCAAGAGCTGCATGAGACAGCTGAGGGAATCACGGCACTGTGTTTCACTTGTAAAGCACCTAGACTTAGAGTTACCCCAAGCAGCAGTGATGGATTAACATGGGTGATGTGACAATGGATTTATTGTTTTTTAGCGAGAAATTGTGACAAATTGTAAGCACACTCACTCTTACGGATACATCTTGGGAAAGGTGACCAGCCATTCTTTGTGCATGTAACTTCACCACCTGCACTTTCAGTACGATAGTCTTGGTTGCAGACATATTGAATTCTTTCACCTTCCGTGTAAGTATAACGATTATATCTGAAATAACCGTTTTCCAGGTGTGTTACAAAGCATGTTTCTAAAGAAGAAAGGTAAGTACATTTAACCACAGTAATCTGAACAGCTAATACTCAGGTACCAAAATTTAACCAGCTGTAGAGATTTTACCAACTGCTAAGCATGCTGGCCCTACGGATGGATGAAGGAATGCTCTGGCTCCGTTATTGGAGTAACTGCTCCTTTCCTCTGGGTGGGACACCCCTTGTCCCCTGAAATGACGTCCACTCCGCTCAGGGCAACTGGAGAAAGACCAACTTTTTGTTGATCTTTCAGGTCCTATCGATAGGTAGGAACTGTAATCTGACTGAAGATGGGGATTATGAGAGAAGGCATCGGCTCGCTGGTTTAAATATATTCCATCGCTGAAAGATTAAGCCAGTGTATCTGGATCTCTTGCTGCAGCAATACTCACTCTCAGCTTATTGTGAGAGTGTGCCACCTGGCCAGTCCCAAACGTTATCCAAAAAGACTGGGCAGTGAATCCTAGACATTATCCTCTAGACAAAGTGCCCAAGGAACTGAAGGAATAATACATTTACACAGAGAAGATGTTCTTGGAATGTCTTGCTGCATGTGCAGGTGAAAGCAGATACATGCATGGGACACAGAAGCCAGAGATGAAAAACATTTCCTAAATCTTATTTCTCTAATTTTTTTTTTTTTTTTAATCTCAGGGATAGGTGCAGGAGTAAATGAACGTCCAAAATCCAGATTTATCATTTCAGCCTTGCTCATTTCAGAGTGTCACTTACCAAGTGGCTGAGCTCTGCAGACAGGATAACAGTCTGGGGGAAGTTCCAGGGTTCAACTCAACCAGTTATACTTTAACGGTACGTTGCTGCTACTTGCATTCCACCAGCACCATTTCTGCTGCACAGGATCATCAATAATCATAACAAAATTGAGCATATAGTAGAAGTGCACTTACTGAGGCATTTTGGCTCTGGATCCAGCCCCCTTTTGAACAGTAATTCGAACGACTCTTCCTCCATTTGGGGCTAAGTAGCCATTACGACAGTAGTAATCAACATACTGTCCAATCCTCATTGGAAAGTAAGAGTGTGCCATTCTTTCACTTATCTTGCCATTTTCTATCACTGGGTAGTCACAGGGTTTCTCTTGAAATAGAATTTAACAGCAACAGTATCAACACACTGCATGGCAAAAAGCTCAGCACACAAAGTCCTAAATACTAATTCAGATACCACTTCATTATTTGAGTGTTTCCTGGAACTGACAGAATCAGAACTGCACACCTTGGCAGATCTCAAGGAGTGCAGGATCAACGTATGCTGTGTTCGATCGATGTCTACAGCTATGCTGTTTGCCTGTTTTCATTGCAATCAACAGAAATCCAGTCCATCTTCTTAGTGGACACTAGAGGCTGATTCATGCAACCAAATGTAAGTATTAATTATATGGTGAGATAACACAGTTTCTTTACAGGGACTCAGCTAAGTGTACTATACTGACACTGATGGGAACCCAGGCAGTTAGCTCAGATCTAGACACTAAAGTGCAGAGTCTAGCAATTGTTGTAACAGCTGTCACCATTTTTATTTGTCACTTCTGAGATCTTACACCAAAAGCTCTTTCTAGCTTTACTCTTTTACAAGACAATACAACCAGTGTCCAAAGTAACTTTAGGAAAAGGCAGCCCACTGCAGTAGGGGTTGGATGCCATCCAGATTCAGTACATAATGCATTTGCTCTTTCACCAAATGTGTACCCTTTTTCACAACCAAACTGTAGTTGTTCAGACTGCTTGTAAGATGACTTTGAGTTACGCACAAATCCAAGTTTTAGTTCAGATACTACTTCATCATTTGAGTGTTTCCTGGAACTGACAGAATCAGAACTGCACACCTGGGCAGATCTCAAGTTTAGAGATCTCATGTGCTGGCCATGCAGTACATGCTTCCACCCACACAAGCGAACTGGGGGATTTGTACACTGCCCATCAGTACAAGTGCTTTGCTCAGATCCTTGAGAATGTAGGAACTTGGGCATTTCATTTTGCACAGCTGCACCTTGGGGGTATTGTTTCAACTGGAAGGAAAGGATGTCTCCGTTTTCAGTATCTCGAGGTGGGCCGCATTTTCCACCTTCCCCTGGAAGACCAATAACCATTACAAAGAGGGCCATCAGAGTTTAGATGCAACAGAGCCCTAGCCACAAATTCTTCAGAAGACCATGTAGGCAGCACTTCGAGAGACTTGGAGGAAAGCAGAGAGAAAACTGTCACCTTGACACCAAATACCTAGCAAAGGGTAGTCTCATTCCTCTGCTGTCAGGACTCACAAGTACCTCTGTGAGAGCATATTAAGGCAAAAAAAAAAAAAAAAAATTTCCTCACAGTCCTGAGACTGAAATTTGGAGACCTAAATGCCACTGAGCTTGCTTGAGGGCAGTCTTCATTGACACTGTACTGCATGGAAAGAGAGAGAGAGAACTCACCTTTGCACTGGGGCCGCTCTGTCCAGGTCCCATTCTTACATGTTACGGTGGAAGCCCCCGTCATCTGAAAACCTTGCCAGCACTGATAGTGAGCTGTCTCCCCAGGCAAATACCTTGGCTTTTTAACACCTTGAACTTTTCCACCAGCAATTTCTGGAGGAGGTTCACACGTCACATCTGAAAAGAGACATTTCTCCACTCAGTTTGTAGGCACTCACGTGTTCCCCTACACAACCTACAGTTAAGAGAATCATCTTGTTACTCCCCAGATGATGTTCTTAAGCGCAGGAGTCTATATTGCCTTACCAATTTGACTTGATTCCTTTCCCCCTCTTTTTTCCTTGACCATGAGTGTTTCTAAACACTGTGAACCCCAGGAATGACACTTAATGGCAGCAGAACACCTTCCAGATTCTCAGGAGATGGCAGGGACAGTGAGAGCTTCTAGAAAAAGCCAGCATTTCTGTAGCTACACCACATGCCTCAAAAAGCCTCCTTGCAAGGCCATGGCCCTCTGCTGAGAACCCCAGCGCTTCTCAAAATCACAGATGTAGCAGCCAAGTTGGCTCTCTGCTGAACTGTAGAGCTCTGGAAGAAGTTATCAGCCTGCACTGCTGGGTTCTTATCCACAGTTCTACAGAGCAATGTATCTTCCACAAACAGCACTTACTTTCACATCGGGGGTAGTTAATCACTCCGTTATTAATTTCTATTAATATATAAAGGGCAAGCGTCAGGAGGACGGAGCAAGACTCTTCTCAGTGACACCCAACGACAGATAAAGAGTAAAAGGGTGCAAGACAGAACACTGAAATTCCGCTTGAATGTGAGAAAAAACTCTTTTTTACAGTGAGGATGACAGAAAATGCAACAGGCTGCCCAGGGGAGGTGTGGAGTGTCCATCAGTGGAGACTTTCAAAACCCACCTGGACGCATTCCTGTGTGACCTGATTTAGGTGCTCCTGCTCAGGAAGGGGATTGGGCTAGATGATTCTTCAAGATCCCTTTCAATCCCTAATGCTGGGACAAAGCCCTGCCTGAACAAGCAGGCCTGGGAGAGCCTGCAAGGAAATGGTCTCCCTCCCTTCAGCCCTGCCACAGTCCATGGCACCTTCTGATTTCAGAGAAGCCACTTGCAGGGAACTTACCAGCCCTTCCATCCTGCCTGGAACCAGCCGGGCAGGCCCAGCACCAGTAACCCTGATGAGCCCCAGCGAGCCCGTTCCCCAGGAGCCTTTCCAGCTCAGGTTCGCCAGTCGGTGGCTTCTTGGGGGAACCTCCCCTCATGGCCTGCAGCTTTGCAGGGTGCTCTCCCACCTTGGTGCCCCGCTATTTCTTCCCCAGGCACACTTGCTAGGGGTTTTCTTCCCAGCTTCTGCGCTAAAAATGCACCAAGGCAGTGGCCAAGCAGTGACAGAGTGGAGGTGACTTACTTCCTGGCTTGCACTGTGGGTATTCCAATGTCCCGTCCATGCACTGCACTCTGAAGGGGGAAGATGCTGGGTCCTGCACGTATCCTATTTTACAATCAAATTCAACAATATCGCCCGATTTTAAATACAGCTTTCTTTCTCCACTCCATGTCAGCTCAATGTTGTTTCTGTCCATATCTTCTTCAGACGTCGTACATGCCGCTTGGAAAAGGCAAGAGAAGAACGTCATTAGTTCATGCAGACACTTCATGCATCCAACAAAGCACAATGGAAAAACAATGATGGCTGAGTCGCCACACACCACTGTGGAGAGGCCTTTGCCCTCTGACAGTCTCACAGGGCAAGGGGAAAGCACAGCCTGGGGCAGGGGCACCCAGAAGGCAGCAATGAACTTCCCTGTGTCTTTTTGGGGCTCTCTCCTTGCCCTCATCCCAGCACTTCTCAAATTCATTCCCTTGTGGCCCTGGATTTCCTTGCACTCAGACAAAACCACTCGCGTGGATCTGCTGGTGACTGGGGGCAGGGAGGGACAGCAGGCAGCAGAGGCAGCTACACGAGCTGACCTCCAGAGGAAATTCCTTCTGCACAGGAGAAGCACCAGCTGCTCTTCTGCCCTGTCAGCGTCGCAGCCCCAGCACAAGCGCTGCTTCACAAGTGCAGGGCCTGCAGGGCCTGAGAGAAAGACAACGAGCAGCTCACACAGCTCTGGGCCACGCAGCACCAGCTTCCACCTACCCAAGCAAACTGGGGGATTTGTCCACTGCCCGTCAATGCAGGTGATTTGCTCAGGTCCTTTCAGGATGTAGAAACTTGCACATTTGTATTTCAGCATTGCACCTTGGGGGTATTGTTTCAACTGGAAGGAAAGGATGTCTCCGTTTTCAATATCTGGAGGTGGGCCGCATTTTCCACCTTCCCCTGGAAGACCAATAACCATTACAAAGAAGGCCATCAGAGTTTAGATGCAACAGAAGCCTAGTCACAAATTCTTCAGAAGACCAGCTAGGCAGCAATTTGAGAGACTTGGAGGAAAGCAGAGAGAAAACTGTCACCTTGACACCAAATGCCTGGTAAATGGAAAAGCTTCTCATTCCTCTGCTGCCAGGACTCATAACTACCAGTTCATCCATTTTTTCTTGCTGGAGTGTTTGCATCTTTCTGAAGGACTTGCACTGGTCCTTCGTAATGGGGTAGTGTTTTTGGCACAGCTCTTGCTGCAGAAGAGCCTGACTCTCCCCCGCTCCCTGTGCTGCCTGAACAGGGACAAGAGTGGATCAGTTTGCAAACCAGAACAAATGTAGACTTCCATTAAACACATCCTTCCACCACAAATGGAGGGATACCACGGAAAATCTCTTTTTCCTGAGTCTGACAGATATCGTTGCACTTGCTCACAGTCCTGAGACTGAAATTTGGAGACCTAAATGTCACACAATTTGTACACCCTCATGTATTCCCCTATACAAAGTACAGTTAGGAGAATCATTGTATTATTCCCCAGATGATGTTATTAAGTGCAAGAAGCAATATTACCTTACCAATGTGACTTGATTTTTCCCCCCTTTTTTCCTTGGATTTCAGGGGCACTGGGAGCCCCAGGAATGTAGATTAACATGACAATGGCAGCAGAACACCTTCCAGATTCTCAGGGGATGACCGGGACAGTGAGAGCTTCTAGAAAAAGCGAACATTTATGTAGCTACACCACATGCCACAAAAAACCTCCTTGCAAGGCCATGGCCCTCTGCTGAGAACCCCAGCGCTTCTCAAAATCACAGATGTAGCAGCCAAGCTGGCTCTCTGCTGAACTGCAGAGCTCTGGAAGACATTATCAGCCTGTACTACTCATGGGACAGGTAAGTTGACTCCATGGAGGTGTATGACTGCCACGTTGCACTTGTTCAGCCCCCAGCCACAGATTTGGACAGGGACTAGGAGAACGGCACAGCTCCTCTTCAGAGGAACCTTCTTGCCATTGCAGAACCCAGCCGATCTGCATGTTTTAGTTCCTGAGGCTCGGCTGGGATCTCTGCCATAGTGGAGCCGCAGAGAAGAGCTCCTGTTTCTCTCCTCTAGTGCTTCTGCCATTCCGATACTCTCTGACAGCCCTGAACACAACAGAGGAGCCCTTACACATCTTTCTAGTGAAGGTCAGTAAAATGGTGTAGTCTGGAAATTACTTGTATCGCAGAGAAGAATAGCAAGTCAGCATACTCTAGGCCTTTCTTCTTCAAGATATTTTTGCTCTTGATGTATATACCCATAGTGTTTCTAGAAGCATTAAGCTAAATTAATCACAGAGTCACAGAATTTCTAGGTTGGAAGAGACCTCAAGATCATCGAGTCCAACCTCTGACCTAACACTAACAGTCCCCACTAAACCATATCCCTAAGCTCTACATCTAAACGTCTTTTAAAGACCTCCAGGGATGGTGACTCCACCACTTCCCTGGGCAGCCTGTTCCAATGTTTAACAACCCTTTCAGTAAAGAAGTTCTTCCTAAGATCCAACCTAAAACTCCCCTGGCGCAACTTAAGCCCATTCCCCTCGTCCTGTCACCAGGCACGTGGGAGAACAGACCAACACCCGCCTCACTACAGCCTCCTTTGAGGTACCTGTAGAGAGCGACAAGGTTGCCCCTGAGCCTCCTCTTCTCCAGGCTGAACAATCCCAGCTCCTTCAGCCGCTCCTCGTAGGACTTGTTCTCCAGGCCCCTCACCAGCTTCGTTGCCCTTCTCTGGACTTGCTCGAGCACCTCCATGTCCTTCTTGTAGCGAGGGGCCCAAAACTGAACACAGTACTCGAGGTGTGGCCTCACCAGAGCCGAGTACAGGGGGCCGATCACCTCCCTAGCCCTGCTGGCCACACTGTTTCTTATGCAAGCCAGGATGCTGTTGGCCTTCTTGGCCACCTGAGCACACTGCTGGCTTATATTCAGCCAACTATCAACCATCACTCCCAGGTCCTTCTCTGCCTGGCAGCTCTCCAACCACTCATCTCCCAGCCTGTAGCTCTGCTTGGGGTTATTGCGCCCCAGGTGCAGGACCCGGCACTTGGCCTTGTTGAACTTCATGCAGTTGACCTCAGCCCATCGGTGCAGCCTATCCAGATCCTCCTGCAGAGCCTTCCTACCCTCGAGCAGATCGACACACGCACCTAGCTTGGTGTCATCTGCAAACTTACTGAGGCTGCACTCAATGCCCTCGTCCAGATCATTGATGAAGATATTAAAGAGGACTGGCCCCAGCACCGAGCCCTGTGGAACGCCACTAGTGACTGGCGTGCAACTGGACTTGGCTCCATTTACCAAGACTCTTTGGGCCCGGCTATCCAGACTGTTTCTAACCCAACAAAGTGTGTGCCAGTCCAAGCCTAGGGCAGCCAGTTTCTTGAGGAGAATGCTGTGAGAGACGGTGTCCAATGCCTTGCTGAAGTCAAGGTAGACCACATCCACAGCCTTTCCCTCATCCACCCAACGCGTCACTTTGTCATAGAAGGAGATCAGGTTCATCAAGCAGGACCTGCCTTTCATAAACCCATGCTGACAGGGCCTGATCGCCTGCTTGCCCTTCAAGTGCCGCATGATGACTCTCAAGAGAATCTGCTCCATGAGCTTCCCTGGCACTGAGGTCAAACTGACACGCCTGTGGTTTCCCGGGTCAGTCCTCCGGCCCTTCTTGTAGATGGGCGTCACATTTGCTAGCCACCAGTCAACTGAGACCTCCCCCGATAGCCAGGACTGCTGATAAATGATGGTAAGCAGCTTGGCGAGCTCCTCTGCCAGTTCTCTCAGTACCCTTGGGTGGATCCCATCTGGCCCCATCGACTTGTGCACATCCAAGTGCCGTACCAGGTCACCAACCAGTTCTTCGTGGATGGTGAGGGCCACATCCTGCTCCCCATCCCCTTCCACCAGCTCAGGATACTGGGTATCAGAGAACAACCGGTATTGCCGCTAAAGACTGAGGTGAAGAAGGCATTGAGCACCTCTGCCTTTTCCTCATCTCTTGTAAGTAAGTTTCCCCCCGCATCCAGTAAAGGATGGAGATTCTCCTTAGTCCTCCTTTTTGTGTTGATGTATTTATAAAAACATTTTTTGTTATCTTTAACAGCAGTAGTCAGATTGAGCTCCAGATGAGCTTTGGCCTTTCTAATTTTGTCCCTGCACAGCCTCGCAACATCCTTATAATCCTCCCTAGTGGCCTGCCCACTTTTCCAAAGATTATAAACCCTCTTTTTCCTCCTAAGCTCAAGCCACAATTCTCTGTTCAGCCAGGCTGGTCTTCTTCCCCGCCAGCTCATCTTTGGGCACGTGGGAACAGACCATTCCTGCGCCATCAAGATTTCCCTCTTGAAGAGCGCCCAGCCTTCCTGGATTCCTCTGCCCTTCAGAACCGCCTCCCAAGGGACTCTACCAACCAGTGCCCTCAGCAGCACAAAGTCAGCCCTCCAGAAGTCCAATACAGCGGTTTTACTGGTCCCAAAGTTCTGTGCAAGAAAGTAGTAGGTACAAAGCTGCATTACCCAAAGAAAACAAAATGTAAAAAGGTAATGTCTTTCTAGTATTAAGGTAATCCAAACAGTCCCCACGAAGTGAACAGCCATAATGAAGGCACAAATTCCTACCTCTGCAGTTTGGCACTTTTGTCCAGTGTCCATCTGAACAAATGACATAATTTACACCCATAATTTGTGAATTACTTTCACATTCATAATGCACTTTGGCACCAGGCAAATACCTCTGCTGTTGAGTGCTGATAATATGAGCATTGGGATTTTCAGGTGGGGGTCCACAGCGAACATCTGAAAAGAGGGGTGCATTTAAAAATTGTAGGACAGGAATATGGCTATCACAGAATAGCGCATTCAGAAGCACCATTATTCCTGCTGAGGACAGATGGTTTGCATATGGTAGGTTATTTTCTACAACTAGGAAAGGATACTATGGGTTTCATTCTGCAATGCTTCACAAGGCAGTTATTAGTTATTATTATATTTTTGCTTCAAGTGACTTTAAAAGAGGAAAGGAGCTGCAGAGACCAGCTGAATGTGCAGGCTGATGCCATCCAGCATTGTGTGCCAAAGCACTGGAAAACAAAGTGGTTTATTTACTATTCGAAGGTAACTTTAAAAGAGTGAAATTCTAATGATAAGAAAGTGAGATATGTAAGGCTACCAGCTATGTCACTCTTTGCAGCCAGCACCCTTTCCTCCATAATCCTCTGACTGCTTGATCTAAGCAGTGAGTGAAGCTGTGGCTACTGGCTTCAGTCCAGAAGGGGAAAAGATTTCTTGCTGATCAGTCCTCCTTGGTGCTTCTCAGGCACCAGGAAAACAGGTGTTGTAGCAATCTATTAAAAGCAACTCAATGATCAGCCCTACTGGTCTGACTCACTTGCACATATTGGTTGGCATTATATTAATTACTGTTCCTGGAAGACTAAGAAGGATCATAGACTACTTAGAAGTACAACCTATACCTTCACAGATTGGTGGTGTTGACCAAGTTCCCCTTCTGCAAAAAATTTCAGGGGGACCAGTGACCTGAAATCCTTCATGACACTGGTAGCGAACTTGTTTCACCAGGCTCATACTTCTCCTTGCTCCTGCCTTCAAATGCAGCATTGGCCACTGCTGGAATACTTCCACATGGTCTTTCTGAAAAGATATGCAAACTTGAAACTTTGGGTAATGCGGTGCACATAGAATGACTGTATTGTTCCCACCAAAAAAGATGCCTTTTATAGCATCAGCACATACCACTGTCTAGGGGAATTTAACGTAACCACGCAGGCCACTAGATAACATACATAGATCAAGTGAGATGAAACCTTGATTACTGTTGACGTGCAGTAGACTACTGCAGGGTCCAAAAAAGTCAGACTCCAAGAAGAAGCATCCTGAAACAGATGGGTGA